CTGTGGCAAACGTCATTCTAGATTCACATGTCGATTTCGTTACGCTTTATGTCATAAGTTTGGCAAAACTGGCCATATTCAGTCTGTTTGTCGCAGTAACAAAACCTGTCGTTTAATCCAAGCCCGAGACTCAGAAGTNAGATTCACATGTCGATTTCGTTACGCTTTATGTCATAAGTGTGGCAAAACTGGCCATATTCAGTCTGTTTGTCGCAGTACCAAAACCTGTCGTTTAATTCAAGCCCGAAACTCAGAAGTGAGTAATATGGCCAAACATTTTTCTTCTTTATCTTTGGCAATTACCTCCCATTCCGGTCACATCCGTAAACGACTATTCAGCTCCACTGGTAATTCGATTCATTTCATTTTGGACACTGGTAGTGTGGAACCTCTAATTTCTGTTCACGATTTAAAACTGTCTACTCCAGATGCTAAACTTCAGCCGTCCACTGTCACCATTAATTGCATCACTGGACACTCACTGCCTGTTGTTGGTTCTTGTGAGATTTCAGTCAGTGATGAATATTCTAAAACTGTTAATTGTGCATTCATTGTAACCAAATCTGGCCCATCCATACTAGGTTTGAAAGCCATGCAAGCATTCAATGTCAATCTTTCCTTACTAACCTCTATCGATACTGAAAATGAATTGAAGGATTTGATTATTAAATGCTCAAAGGCCAGTGGTGGCATGCAAATTTCCCCAGTGAGACTACCAGTTAATGGCGATCCAGTATTTCTCAAACGCTGAGTCATTCCATATGGCCTTCGCGAATCTGTCATGAATGCGTTGAACAACTTGTGTTCCAAAGGTGTTATAGAGAAGGTGTCGTCTTCTACATGGAGTACACCAATTGTCACNCCCGATGAGGAAAAGAAATCCGCTTTCTTTTTGAATGCTGCCGGTAAAAATGCTTATACATTAATCAAAAACTTGGCTTATCCTTCTCCACCTGTTTCCGTACCGTACGATGATTTAAAATCCCTCCTCCTCCAGCATGTGAAGCCAACGAACTTCGAAGCCTCAGAACGAGCAAAATTTCATTCAATGGTACGCAATCCGAATCAGGGCATCCGTGAATTCATCCTGGATTTGCTCACTCAAGCTGCAAAGTGTGATTTTGGAGATTTACTGGACATGCAATTGAAAGATCGGCTGATCGCTGGCATCAACAATACCGTTTTGCAAAATGAACTTCTGAAGCTATCCAGTCCGACGTTCAAAGATGTGCGGGCTTATTGTGAACAGTATCAGGACATTCGCGCCGCCACTTCATCCATGCCGTCCACCATTGAATCTACAGCTATGTTCAATTCACTCAAGACTAAATCCACGAAAGCTCATGCTACAGCCGGACGTTTCAAACCAGCCACACAATCTAACTCACACAATGTGACATATTCGGATAAATCCTATGGCAATTGTGCATCCTGTGGCAAACGTCATTCCAGATTCACATGTCGATTTCGTTACGCTTCATGTCATAAGTGTGGCAAAACTGGCCATATTCAGTCTGTTTGTCGCAGTACCAAAACCTGTCGTTTAATTCAAGCCCGAAACTCAGAAGTGAGTAATATGGCCAAACATTTTTCTTCTTTATCTTTGGCAATAACCTCCCATTCCGGTCACATCCGTAAACGACTATTCAGTTCCACTGGTAATTCGCTTCATTTCATTTTGGACACTGGTAGTGTGGAATCTCTAATTTCTGTTCACGATTTAAAACTGTTTGCTCCAGATGCTAAACTTCAGCCATCCACTATCACCATTAATGGCATCACTGGACACTCACTGCCTGTTGTTGGTTCTTGTGAGATTTCAGTCAGTGATGAACATTCTAAAACTGTTACTTGTACATTCATTGTAACCAAATCTGGCCCATCCATACTAGGCTTGAAAGCCATGCAAGCATTCAATGTTAATCTTTCCTTAGTAACCTCTATCGATACTGAAAATGAATTGAAGGATTTGATTATTAAATGCTCAAAGGCCAGTGGTGGCATGCAAATTTCCCCAGTGAGACTACTAGTTAATGGCGATCCAGTATTTCTTAAACGCCGAGTCATTCCATATGGCCTTCGCGAACCTGTCATGAATGCGTTGAACAACTTGTGTTCCAAAGGTGTTATAGAGAAGGTGTCGTCTTCTGCATGGGGTACACCAATTGTCACACCACTCAAGTCGGATGGCAAGACCCCGAGAATATGTGGTGACTACCGAATCACCTTAAATCCAAGACTTTTAAAGCGGACATGTACAACGGTTGAACCAGAGAACATCCTGAATAAGTTGACTGTTTCTAAGATCTTTTCCAAGATTGACTTAAAAGATGCATATTTACAAATTCAGTTGGATGAAACATCATTCACTTTGACAACTATTAATACCCCTTTTGGTTTGTACAGATACAAGTTTCTACCATTCGGTTTATCCGTTTCTCCTGCCATATTTCAACAAGTTATGAACGATATTACTAGTGGTATGTCTGGTGTTGAAGTATATCAAGATGACAGTGTTGTTCATGCTCCTGACAAGTCCACTCATGACGCACAATTGCTTGAACTCTTTCGTAGATTTTCTGATAAGAATGTTGCTGTTCATCCTAAGAAAAGTTTATTTTTTGTCTCTCATTTTGAATGTCTTGGATACTTAGTTAATGGTAAAGGGTACAAATTTGACCCGAACCGTCTATTTCCTCTAACAAAAGCCAAATCACCGTCTAGCATACACGAACTCAGATCATTGATTAGAGCCCTACAGTATTACTCTCAACTTATCCCTGATTTCAGTCAGAAAGGTTCACCCTTATTTCTTCTCTCTTCTGATAACAAATTTGTTTGGACTGATATTCATGAACGTTGCTTACGTGGATTGCTAAATTTTCTGCAGACTGATGCTGTACTTCACCCATTCAATCCCAAAATTCATTCCACTGTTATTACTGATGCCTCACTCGATGGAATTGGTGCGATTCTTGGGCAGAATGGGCATCCAATTATTTGTGTGTCTCGCCGGTTAACAGCAGCTGAACGAGGCTATGCTCAAACTAATCGCGAAGCCTTAGCGGTATACTGGGTAGTCAAGCGTTTGCACAAGTTCCTTTTCGGGCATCATTCCACCATCGTCACTGATCATGAGGCCTTGAAATTCATTTTCGATCCCGGAAAATCCCTTTCCAGAAGCTCTGCAGCTATGGTTCAGCGTTGGAGTATCGCACTCAGTGCATATGATTACACAATTGAACATCTTAGTGCCAAATACATGCGACACTTGGATTACATTTCGCGTCAATCGCTACCCGCGCCGGAGCCAGAGGACATTTCTGATTCACTACTAGTGCAACCTCTTCCTGTGAGCCGCCAAGAACTTATTTGTGACACACGTCGTTATTTCTCTGCTGTGATGACTGCTTTGCGGAAGGGTTGGAACGCCCAGACTCGCCTAGACGTGGTGAACTTTCAATTACGCCTGATGGATTGCTGTGCTTGAATGACAGAGTTGTGATTCCACCGACGTTGTGTAAAGCTGTACTTGATGACCTACATTCCGGTCATCTTGGGATAGAAAAGATGAAGTCACTGGCTCGATTAACTTGTTGGTGGCCGAACATGGATGCTGACATATGTTCCAAAGCTAAGAGTTGCCCTAAATGCTACCACAAAGTTCGACAGTTGCCATCCAAGTGGGTTATAATAATAATAATAATAATAATGTATATTTCACGAAACCCGTGAGGCATGCACAAGGCATTACTGAGGCGTGACAACGTGTTCATGCGGATTATTGTGGTCCATTTCTCAATGGAATGTATGCACTTGTTGTCATTGATTCCTTCTCCAACTGCAGTGGCCACTCCCATTGGTGACAGTTATTCCGCACAGCTAAGAGGACTCCGACCCCTTGCCTCCAGTCTACTGTATGCTGTCTATATGGGTCAGTTCAGGTCACAGGACTTGCGGCTGATGCCAATTGGGTCCGGGTTCTTGCACCGCCAATAAACGTCTACGACTCCCACGAGTGTTTATGTCTACTTCGGGCAACGAGACACTAGGAGGTCGAGCGCATATTGAGACTCGTAAGAAGACTTACCGGCAGGCCGTCAACTCCGGTTAGCTTCATTGGTGAGCCCGCACCGTCTACTCTGTAAGTCAATTCCATTTGGGTTTGCACCTTTTCCTCATGGTTCATTATCGTTTGCACGATATATTTCTTTATCGCATTTGTACAATGTCCGAGGAACGTCCATCGGTAGACGATAGGGAGCTGGACCTACTGGCTGTTAGTTTTAAGCCAGTAGCCTTCATTCCCCATGACCCGGAGGTGTGGTTTGCTGCGTTAGAAATGCAGTTTGTCGCCCGTAAAGTGCGGAGCCAGCGCTCCAAATACGTTTACGCAGTAGAGGTGATCCATGGCGACCGATTATCCGCCACTGGGGATATTATCCTTAAACCGCCGGAAAAGGTTGCGTACGAAGTTCTGAAGGCTGCAATCCTTCATT